TTTTAAAATAGAGAAAAAAATCTGTGTAATTAAGGCAAAATATAAGGAAGATTAAAGTATTTTAGTGGAAAAAAAAGTAAAAATTAATTACAAATCGATACCAATCTGTAATAATATTTATTTGGAAAAAAAAAAGTTAGGGCCTTAACCAATCATGTAATAATATTTATTTGGAAAAAAAATAACAACTACAAAATGACTCTTTTATCCCTGTAAAAAGACTCTTCCCTCCCACTTCTTTTTTTTTTTTTTTTAAAGGTTGCTCGACTTCTCCTTTCCCTGGCATCTATGAATCATCTCTGACTTGTGACTTCAAACACCCCAGGCAATTTTACTTGAGACGAAATGAAAATATGATCCTGTTAATGAAATGATGAAATGTACCTACTAAATAAATAGAAGGTCAAGTGCTCCGATTATAAATGTTTCTGTTTCTGAAAATTAAATACCACTCCTCCGATCTTAAATATAAAACACATTTTGTAGTACAAATTGCACTATAAAATAGGCTTTTTATCAAGGATTGGAGTTAATATAAGAGCTAGTTAACTAATTTGAATAGATTAAAGAAGTTTGTTAAGTTAGTTGTTTGTAATAATATTAGTTATTTAATGAAGCATTTAACATGTGCAACTACTATAAGAACTATTTTAGGAAAAAAATGGATAAATATGATAAGCAAAGTGGATTAGGATCTTATATTTATAACCAAATTAAATGTTAAACTAACTCTTATACTACCTTTAATTCTTAATATAAGAACTAGTTGACTTATTTTGAGTAGATTAAAAAAATTAATTCAGTTAGTTATTTATAATAAATAGGTGTTGTTTTTCCTAAAATATCCTTACAAATCAAATATATTGACTAGAACTATCATTATTACAAGAACTATCTTGAAAAGAAAATAGATAAATATGAGAGATAAAGTGGATTGGAGTCTTATATTTAGGACCAAACTAAAAATCAAATAAGCTTTTATATTAAGGACCAGAGATAGTATTAAGGATTGGAGGTAGTAGTTGACATGCTTGAAGTTTAGTTTGGTTCTGCCAACTTATTAAATAATAATATTGTGCTTGAAATTTGCAAATTGCTTTGGGATTTAGTTGTTTCAAATTAAACTTGGTTTCAAAATCTCTCTTTAACTCTTTATCCAATGTGATTCTAAATCGTCCTAGGATACACACAGAGCTGTGTGTGCAAACTGCAAAGAAGCTTACCCATGCCAATGGGTTTTGAATCTAACAGAACAGGCTAATCTCTCGTAATGTGATGAGTTAAGATTTGAATCTTTGATAAGAGAATTGTTTATATTTAGTGTTCAGTAATGCCTAGAATATGATTACTTTCAATAAAAAATACTTGTGATGCAACAGTTTACCCATTTCGTTTCCTAAAGTTCGAAAAAGAACAATATGATGCATCGATGCCTGGTGATGAGGATAACTGTAAGCAATGCGGGATTTTTACAAAATAGGAAAACGTAATACGCATATTTATAAATAGGTCAATAAGCAGTAATAAGTATAAGAGATAATATTAAGGTCTGATATTTAGAATTATATAACCTATGAAAATAATTAATACTATGATTTGAATGTTTAATAGTAAGGTCAACTAACTCATACATTCAGAATCATTACTCATGTGCTGGTAAAAAGTGCGATATTTTTTTAAAAATATTCTTTTAAACATTCAAATCAGAGTATTAATTATTTTCATAGGTTATATACATCGGACAAGAATCTAACTACAAGGATAACTTGGAAAAAAAATTACCTTCAATTAAGCCTTATATTAAGCAGTTACAATTGTCTAGAATGTCTAATTTAAACTTGAAAAATCTGTAATATGTATTGGGGCATTAAAAATTATTGGAAAATTATTTTTTTAAGAAAAAAAGATAAGGTACATCCAACACTCCGAAGTATTTTCTTAAATGCATCTAGCACCCTGAAGTATTTTGTGGTGCATCTAGACCCCGAAGTATTTTTTAGGTGCATCCAACACCATGAAGTAATTTTTTTTTTTTTACCTTGATGCTAAGTGCACCGGAAAAAATATTTTAGGAGATGCACCATGAAACAACCTTCCTAAATAAACAGATAAACCTATTTTTTTATAGTAACTTTAATAAATAACTTTTTATAACCAAACCATGTTAAATACAAACTCAAATTATATCACAATCATCTACACTAACTAATTATATAATATTGTTATCCGTGATAGAAAAGAGCAGCACCCAATCATACATCCTATCACGGATAAAAGAACTTTTCTTAACTCATTTAAATACAAACTATATAAGAAAGGATCAATCTTATCTAATATAGTTATAAAACAACATATAATATAGATCATAAATCAAAATATTAAAAATTAAATCTTAATTCATACTTTATAATAAATTCATAAATAAATCACATGCGAATATGCGATCCTAGGCTTCTAGCCACCTATTAGCACACATACCACAATAGTATACTCAAAAGACATAAGAAATAATAATGCATGAATCAATTAAAACCAATTTATCCTAAGGTGGCAATATACAGGATACAACATAGCTCATAAACCAAGGAGACGCTACAAATTGCTAATGTAGCTTTACTCCTCCTGAGCCTTCCCTGACGTCCCTCCTTTAAAGCTTTCACCTGAAAAATGTTAAACAATAGGGATGAGACAACGTCTCAATAACTAAATCCCTACCTATCACACACACTAGCATGGGCTAGCGAGATGTCAGGTGGGATACACAGAGTTAATAATAGTCAATAGACACTTATCTAACAGTTGAACTCACAATAACCATATATATCAAATATATCTGCCAATCTCAAGCAACTGATGATTTCAAAAGAGATAACATACTTTTCATTTATTTAAAAGATATAAACATTAATGAAGATACCATGTCATATGAAACCCATGAAACCAAATTCATCCTTATATCCTCCTTATTTCCGCCGACTGGACCCATGGGCTAAGTTCTTTTCATTTGACTGGCTACTCTGACAAGCTCACCACTCGAGTGATATGGACCGGCCAAAGACCACAGAGCACTCGGTGGACCATGGGTCCCCCCTCGAAGAACTAGTGGGGTGTCGCAGTCCCTCGAAGAACTAGTGGGACAGTAATAGTAGCCAACCATAGAGCTCCATATGGAGGCCGATACCATGTGGTAAGTATATACATCTCAATAACTCCAATCATCTTCTGTCCCCGCCCAAACTAGATGCACAGGGTTCAAAATAACACATTTATATGCATAACCAACCGAATTCCAGAATAACACCTTATAGTCATAATCATTAATTTCTAATAATACAAACGATTTCAATCCTTTTCAAAACAGTAACCCACAAGACAGTTCATACAAAACATAATATATGTATACGAAATTGGTTATAAAATCACTCACCAACCTCATACCAATACATGTAACAGATAGAAATTTAGTTACCTAGTCTCCTAGCTAACAATCAAGCACAAACGAGGCCCATACTCGAAAATGCCACAATAGGATTTATATCTAATAACTTGTAACTTGGAGATCAAAATGATGATCCAACCGTTGAAATTAACGATTTGGATGTCCCAAATGGGCTGACCAAATTTCAGTCCGATCCAACGGTTAATAAACTCAAAACTAATACTTTTCTGAGACTACCTTAGATATGCGCGAATATTATTTACTCACTACAAGCTCCACTCACTATCTCATATATATAGGCTCCTCAAACTCCTTCACTCTAAAGATTAGTCGATGTGGGACTTCTATACCATGGTATAATTTTCTAGAATACCATCCCCCCACACACACACAATCACACACAAAAACATTATTAAAATAATAATAATAATTTTCCTATATCTAACCTTTTTTTTTATTAACTTAATACAAAAATATATTTATTTATAAATTTAATTAAATACTAGATAAAAATAAGGATGTTACATACCAAAAAATATTTCAAAATGCTAGACGCACTTAAAAAAATATTTTAGGGTACTAGATGTATCATAATATTTTAAAATATTGAATGTACTTAAAAGAATACTTCGGGATGTTGAGTAAGCACTACAGCGGGTTGGATTGAAATTTTTCATGAAAAAAGGCGGCCCAACCCAGCTCACCCACCTAGCCCACAATGTATTCATGGACGTACACATTCCCCAATTTATATTTTATCATCAAACATCAATGAAATCGCCCCATCCCGCATTGCATTATTTGGATTATTTCAAACACACTGAACATTTGTATAATAATAATACCACCAATAAACAATGATTAATTCAGCTAGTAAAAAGTCGACTCATAACTTATAAGATCATGAATTCAAATCCCACTACCAACATAAGAATATTGTTAGTGAGTAATCTGTAAATATCTTTATAAGTACTTTCTGAGTTTAAAAACATATTCTAACCCTAGTAAACTCCAAAAACTCAACTCACTTCAACTTTTTTGTACAACAACAAGAATAATACCACCTTCAGTCTTTAGTATAAGATCAACTCAACAAACTTGGATAAATTAAGAAAAGTGGTTAACTTAGTTATTTGTTAAAAATGTGTTGATTTTTCTAAAATACTCTTTTAAATCATTTAGACCGAAACTATCATTTGAAGTTAATGTATGTAATCAATAGGATTAATTTGGATAAATAAGGAAATAAAACAGATTGTAATCTTATATTTAGTATCAAATTCAACTCTTTACTAACTTTTATATTAAATACTGGAGCTAGTAATTATTATACTAAGGGAAGAAAACCACACGCGGATGCACAGCCGCGGAATTATGGATACGGACAATGGATTCGATTGCGCCAGACAGCGGCCTTCAAAATCCATGTATTTGTCCCTTATTAAAACTTTTACAAGGGAGCAAAAGTGACAACGGTTCATATAGCAGTGAAACAATCCCATGTTCATTCATTCCCCTGCACATATATTTTCCAGAAAAACAATTTTCTCCAGGTCAAGTCTAAACAATTTCAGAATTTCCATAGTCATGATCAGGTCAATGTAGCATGTCAAAAAGATAATAACAGAATACAAACCAAAGTGATAATTTTGCAATTCAAGTCGTCTGTGTCAAACTAAATTTTGAAAACAATTAGAAACACGCAGCAAGAGACCATCATATCCCTTCACGTTGAAAGCCACATCTATAATTATTTCATGAATGGTTGTATATTTTCTATGATCTTGATAAACACAGTGAACTCTACATGGATTTTATTGAAGGAGCAACCTCTAGTACAACTCCTAGTTTCTCCTTCAAAACAATTCTCACAAATCAATTTCTACCATAGAAGTTAACACCCAAAACAAGAACTTCCAACCCAGATGTTGGAGTGCTTCGTTCTTACGCGGACGTTAGGGAATTCAGCTTCTTTTCATACAACTTGGCCCGTCGAAGAGCATCTAAGGCCTCAGCTTGTTTTCCTGACCGCTTCAAATTTACAGCCTTCACTTTTTCTGCTTTGATTCTTTCTTCTAGCTGAATTCTCTCTTCATTGACGTTTTCGGTCCTAGCAACATCGGACTTATTAGTCTCTTGTTTTTCTGGACCTTTTGATACAGCACTAACATCTTCAAGTCCAACTGCCTTCAGAGCAGATAACAGTTGAGGATCAAGAAAATCCTCAACAGTCACATCGTGTACAGCATCTGACAAACTGGAAGATTTACCAGAATCATGACCTCCCAGCTCCTCCAACTGGATTTCAAGTGCCTTTGCCTTTTCGAACTCAGCTTCTGCTTCCTCCATCCGGCCTTCTCTCCTTAACTTTAGGGCTTGACGTTTGTGCCCCAAAGACTCCTGCTGCAACTTGAAACGATCTCGACTAGACAATGGTTTAACAGCAACATTTGATGGATCTTTTTTCTGTTCAATATTAGATACATTGGAGGACATGTTGAAAGCAGCTTTTGGCTGCATATTGTTATTGGAGGGCATGTTGGAAGCAGCTTTTGGCTGCATATTGTTCTCCAAGCTCTTTTCCAACAGTTTTGCCTGACGGAGTTCCTCCCGAGCTTCTGCTAGTTTCCCCTCTCTTTTCAAAGCAACTGCCTTCTTTTTATGAGCCAAAATTTCTTGATGATAGGAAACATTATTCTTAGTAGCATGATCCTGATCAGCAGCTGCCTCACTTGTGCTTGGCTTTTCATGTTCGGCAGCAAATTCTTCTCTTTTATCAATTGCAACATTGCTTTTGGATCCCTCTTCTTGATTACGAGATGAGGAGTCCAGACAAATAGGAGGGGCTGCTTGAGCCACATTAGCTGACCCAATCATAGATTCTTCTCTTCGTTTTTGGGCAAATATTTCAGAATGGCTCCCACTATCGCCAGTGAATAAACCTGATGAACTCATGGACTGTATAGCTGAAGCATTATGACCAATGGTTTCATTCGAGGGACTGGCCTCTCTAGATAATGGACCAAGCACTGATGAAGGTGAGTCAGTATCAACTTCCATTGCAGCTCCTGGACTCCCACGCTTTCCATACAAGTCAATTGATGCAGGTAAACCAGGTTTTTCAATATTCGAAGCATTAAGGGGAAATTCCTTGTTCTGGTTCCCTATATCTTCCATCTGGACTTCCAAATGCTTTGCCATCCTCAAAACTTCCTCAGCCTCTTCCACTTCTCCTTGACGTTTAAGAGCAAGAGCCTTCCTTTTCAGTGCTAAGAGTTCTTTTTGAATCCCTCTCTTACTCCCTGAAGCTTCACTAGAAATGCTAGAAGAAGAATCAAGTGCAGAACTACTGGCAGCATTCTTAACTGGCTCTTCCTTTGTGGATCCTGCTTCAGACTCTTCATCCTTCCACCCGAGAGTGTTAAGCATTGAATTCAGCCCTGGGTCATGCATATCCTCCTCTGTAACTGCTTCAAGACTCCCTTCATCAACTGCACTTGCAACTGGATGATTGAAGACTTTGTCTTTGCTAAGAGCCTCCACTTGCAGTTCTTTATTTGGAGCTTCAATTTCAGCTAACTTGCTTTCTTGTTCTTTCGCCATTTTCAGCACTTCCTCAGCCTCCTCCACCTTCCCTTCACGCCTGAGAGCAAGAGCCTTTCTTTTTAAGCCCAAGAGTTCCCTCTGAATTTCAAATTTACTTCTTTTTGGTGCTCCTGCCAACATATTTGTAGAATGCTGGCTTAGAGAAACATCATTGATCAGCACAGATTGATCACCATCTTTCTTTGAAGGCTTTGTTGAAGACTTTGGAGGCTCATCATCATCATCATTCCAACCCAAGTCCCTAAGGATCGAAAGATATGTTGGATCAGACAAATCACGGTCTGTCACTTGTTCCTCTCCTCCTTCCCCAAGTGGCAGATCTTTATGAATATCAGGAAGCTTGTGCACCGAATGCGGAACATTACCACCAATTTTTGACTGAGTTCCGTTAAGATTTTGAGCTTTATCCATCTTCTCCAGCTGATGCTCAAGTGCTGCGCCCTTTCTCAATTCTTCCTCTGCCTCATTCAGTTTCCCTTCCCTTCTCAATGCAAGAGCCTTCTTCTTTAAATTCAAAAGCTCTTTCTGAATCGTTAATCGACTTTTTGGGGCCTCAGTAATGTTCATGAAATTAGCATTTCCCTCAACCACTTCAATAAATTCAGATCCTTTACCAGCAATTTGGGAACTAACACCTTTACTGGCAGCAGTGGATTTTTGTGTCATAGTATTGTTCTCTTGAGACCCAGAACTGTCAAGCTCCCTTTCTAATAACTTTGCCTTTCTCAAATATGTCATTGCTTCTTCAGTATTACCTTCCCTCTTTTGTTTAAGAGCCTCTCTTTTTAAAGATTGAATTTCGCTAAGCAATGCCTCCGCATCAAGGGGATGAGAATCAGGTGTTATATTTTCAGAATTATTAGAATCTTCAGTCCATCCGAATGATTTCAAAGCAACAGCTATTTCAGGGTCCAACATATCATCATCAGTCACTTCAAAATTGCTATCAACATTATCAGACATTCTCAAAAGGTTATCAAAATCAAAGTTATGATCATGGTCATGGAAATTTAAAGACCCTTCCTCATCATTGTCCATGCCACGAATTAGTGCTGATAGCTCATCATCAGAATCTTCAGCTTCTCCCAGCAATTCCTGTTCTTCCAGTTGCTTTTCTAAAACTTTAGCTCTCTTTAATTCTTCCTTGGCCTCTGCAAGCTTCCCCTCTCGCTTCAATGCAAGAGCCTTTTTCTTAAGAGCAACAACCTGGGTCTTGTCAATTCTACTGCCCTTTTCTTCACTGTTCTTCGGATGGATATCTCCAATAATAGATGATAGTTCACCGTCCAAACTCAAGTTTGCTGACTTCCTATCTTCATCCCGAAGATCCAAATCAGACCACCCAAGCTCTCTAAGTTCAGCAGTAAGATCATGCTTCTCTTTATGCATATGAGGAAGTGAGTTAGTTTTTTTCCCATGTTCTAAAGAAATATCTCTGTTAAACGCATCAGACATGTTAACTGAGGATGTATTTTTCTTTCGAATCTTTCTTAAATGAAGTTCCAAGGCATCAGCCTGCCTTTCAAGCTCCTTACCTCTCTTAAAAGCCCTAAGGGCCTCCTCAGATTTTTTATCTCCTTTCAGAATTTTATATTTCTTCTTTTCCTCCAAAGCTTTTTGGCGCAAATCATCAGGACTGGTGGATCCCAGATCAACCCCCAAATGATTGACGTCATCATTTGAGATAGTTTTTTGTATGCCACCTACATCCTGATTAGCATGTCCCATGGTACTTGAAGAGGATGCACTGCCAACAGATCTCTGACTGTGAGAAATTGCGCTATTGGTTGAATGACTTCCTGATGAAAAAGATTGTTCTCCATCATGGCCAAGAATCTGCTTCAAAACTTCATCTTCACATCTAGGTGCTGATTTTGAACCCCCTTGAAAAAAATAGGAGAGAGAATTCAAAAGGATGAAATAATGAAGTTATAAAAAAGAAGTTATCTGATCCTTTAATGTTAAAAAGGCCCAATTTAAAAATCATGAAAAATAGGAACTACCTCTGCCAGCTCTGCGTCCCTGTCGCATCTCAAATCGTGCTGCCTCTTCTAGCTTCTTACAAGGTTCACAAATACGGACAGGTGAATCACCTTGTCCACGTAAGACCATTCTTTGCTGGGTACAACTGTTGCAAAACAATCCTCCACACCGTCTACAGTGATGCTAAAAAGATTTAAATAAAAAGAAGAAAATTAAATTCAATATATTAACAAGAAATTAGTCACTGCTATAACACCTAAATTGGCTTTCCTTTGCAACATCCTTTAAAAGCACTCAATGGACAAACAAAGAAGATCAACAGCCAGTGTTTCAATAAAATAATGAAATCGGAAAGCATACTATTATAAATACTGATTCCATGGAACTTCAGATCGTAGTCATAATTTGATTAAACTCCAGGAACTTTAGGCATGCTCCTGTATTTTTGTTTCCAATTTCACTAAAACATTGACTTGGTTCTTTATGGAATAAGAAAGTTTAATAGGCAACACCAAGCATGAAAGCTCAACAGCACAGTTGCATCTGGAAAACTGCCAAAACGACAGAAAATAGAAAAGGCAGTAAGTTTAAAGGCTTCCTAGACTTTCAACACTCTAGCTATCTCCTCTCAGCTTTCACAAGAATTTTGCCCATCCATTCCCATACCATAACAGAATTACACTCAAGCCCATTCCAGAAACTTCACATGTTTCCTGCCCACACCTAACCAAAAACCCCAAATTAGTTACATATTTCCTTCCTCAAACTGTTCCTTTACAATACCTCCCTGGATCCTCAAGAATCAACCTTGTGTATCCGGGTGGCCATCATAATTTAAAAAGGTAAGAGGAAGGTATCTTGAAGACCCAATAAGATATCTTATCATAGGAAAAATTAAAGAGTGAAATGCACCACGATATGAAATCAAAACTCTAAACTTCACACACACACACACACACAACTGATTCTCTCTGAGAATACATTAGTCAATAAGAAGTGAAATCTAACACTTCTTGTGCAAAGCAAGCAGTAATTACAGAGGCATTAGACATGGCCTGAAAGAGAGTAGAGAATTTGTACATTGTATGTCTATAGACAGATAAGAACTCTTGAAGTCCAAAAACAATCAGTTAGCAGATAGCCAGATTCAAGTCAGCATAAAAATACTTCGTCATTATATACAAGCCTCCCTTATTGCTATATCGATTACATCAAGTTGACTAATCTATTCAAGAAAATCAACTTGAGCACCATTCCCTTAGGTAACAAAACTAATTAGCGACAACATTCCTCATGCCTGTCTTATAATCAAGTATAGACTTATCCGGGACCATATAAAAAATAAAAAGAAAAAAAGAAAGATTTCGGATTCTGAAATATCCGCTATATCGACAACTTGAACTCTGAAGAATAATATTGAAGCTAGCCAGCATAACAGGATATTAGAGCCGTATCAACGATAACTCTGCCGAAACTTTCTTTTATAAGTAACTGAGCCCTTGAAGTAAACTGGATTAATAGTCTCCTTCAAATGGCATCGCGAAACCGATGTCCCACATAAACCGTCACACCCCTAAGGAAACAAAAACCATGGGTTTCCTCTCTAATTGACAAATGTTTCTAAATCAATCCAAGAAGAAAGACATAAACTGAGAAAACAACCGGATCGTGGGTAACTCGAAAGAGAACCATAACCAATTTAATTTATAAATATATGAAAAAAAATCTAGTGATCATGAAATTGTAAGAAGGAAACCTTGCGATTGATGAAGGTAAACTGAGATGAGCAACCCTGACAGTTTGAGGCATCCACCACCCAAGTACTCCCGCGCAGTGATGGCTTTGGCGGCAACCCGATCTTCTCTAACATCTTGAAGTTATTCTTTCCAAACACCAAATATTCAGAATCAACGAAGCGATCGAGGAAATTCTATTGCCCGGATCGGTTTGCTTTTTAGTTTCGCCCGCTGAACTTATTCAATCAATAAATCGATAGTATGATTCACCTTTGCCCCATCTCCTGCGCAGCGACAGTCAAAAACTCAGAAAGAAAACGAGAAAAAAGGCAACAATGGGTTGATAAACGAGTCAACAAGTCCGATTCGGGCACGCCAACTCGATCTTCACACGCACCCGATATCGCATCGGATAAACAACTAATAACGCAAAACATTTTTTATTTAGGGAGTGGTCGATGAAACCAAACCATGGTTTGAAAAAGTGATTTTGGAGAATAGATTCTGTAAAAAATAAATTTTGTAAAAAAGTGATTCTGAGAAGTGAGAGTGTTTGGGTAGTTGTTATCAGAAGCACTTTTTATATATACAAATTACTAAAAAAAAGACATAAGTTAATATAATAATTACAGAAAAAATAGATTTTATGATATATTTTAATTTGAAGGAATAAAATTGTTGATAATATATTTTTTACCAACATAATTAATAATACATAAGATAATATAATTAATAAATAATTAATGTGTATATATATTTATAAAATATAAGATTAAATATGTTTATCAAAAAATATGTTTATAAAAAAAATAACAAGATACATATCATATAAGCTCTCACACTCTCCCTTTTTTCTCCAAAAGCAAAAAATTTTTGCTTTTTCCAAAACCATGGTTTTGGTTTTTAGAGGGGGTGTTTGGGTGATTGACACCCCAAACCATGGTTTGGGGTGTCACCCAATAATATATTTTTGTTAAATCAAATTACAATAAATAAATTTTAAAATATGAATAATATTTATATAAAAGGTGGTGTTTATTAGTATTTATCTAGGTTTTTTTTTTGGCCAAATAGTATTTATCTAGTTAACTTCTAATTTCATCCCCTATGGCCAATACACAGTAATAAAAATGATAATGATTTTTTATATTATCTCCGGTCCTTAATATAAAACTTTGTTTAAATTTTATTTTAGTCCTAAATATAAGACCCTAATCTATTTTATCTCTCGTATTTATGTATTTTTTCTAAAATAATCCTTCTAACAATAGTAGTTATAGTTAATACACTTAATTAATAAGAATATTTTAGGAAAGATAACACATATTTATTATAAATAACTAACTTAATTTTTTTCCTTAATCTCCTCAAATTAATCAACTAGTTCTTATAGTTAGGACCAGAGATAGTAATAAATAAGGACTATAATCGTTTAGTACCATTGAATAATCCCAAGTTTGAAGTTGCAATTTGGTTCTAATGTTTTACCCATAGACACACATATCAGACTTAGGTGTGTTAATTCAAATAGTAAATTGATTTATATATAATACTAACAATATCATATTCAAATATGTCTTTTAATAAATTCATAAATATGTTGAAAATTCAGCAAAGAGTACTTATGCGATGAATATGATCTTCCACCATCAGGTTAGAATTTATTTTTTATTATAGGGACTTCTTTATGTATTTCTCCATCCATCTCTATCTCATTTATGATTATTAAAAGAAGGTCAGACTGCGGAAATAGCCCTTAATACTTGATAACAATAGTAAGTGCTTTTGGGAACTATATAAGGTCACGTTTGTTATCATGATTGAAATAACTTATAAACACGTTTCATGTAAATTGAGATAAAATTCCTTTCACATATTTATCTCGTATTCCGTAAATTACGATTAAAAAATTACTTATAAGATATTCCAAATGGGCCCTAAATCTAAACCTTCTTCTTGCCTTCATTTTTCTACATATTCTCTTCTGTACCTCAGAGTTTTGATTTTGCCTTATGTTTTAGTGTGGTGAGAATATCATGAATTCGTGGGGGTTAAACCCATTAGTTGATATGGCTGGGTTGATTCATCTCTGGCCTTTGTTGTTTGACTTTGCCTTATATTCCGTTTCTATTAGAGACCAGTTCGATCTCTTGCCCCCTTGGCTCCTCACTTAGATCATTTCCTCTCCAGTTCCTCATGACCAATTCAATAATCTTCCCTTTGTGCTTCTTTTGTCTTGATTAGATCCTATTTTTCTCTGCCAGTCCCCTTCGCACCAAAATCCCAGCACAGAAGTAGAGATCAACTTTAGGGTTAGATTCAGAGCAATGATTAATGGGCTCTGTCACCAATTTTGGCTGTGGATTTTCCAAAGCCGCAAAACTTGCATCCAGGAAACAAATTGATACTATCTCCAATCTTAACATAAAAACTACTCCCCTAGTTCCTAATATAAAAGTTTTTTTGTAGTGTAAATTATACTATAAAAGAGGTCTTATATTTAGAACAGAAAGAATAGTTAATTGATTTGAATAGATTAATTGAATTAGTTAAGTTAGTTATTTGTAATAAATAAGTGTTATCTTTTCTAAAATATCTTTACTAATCATATGTATTAATTAGAATTACTATTTAATAAAACGTTTAATATGTGCAACTACTACAGGAACTATTTTAGAAAAATAGATAAATATATATGAAAAACAAAATAAATTTAGATCTTATATTTAAAATTAAATTATATATTAAACTAGTTTTTATATTAAATATCATAGGTATAGTGCTAACTCTTTGGTGTGTTTCGTCTGCACTCATTCTTTTTTCTGGAAAAGTCCGGCTCTTAGTGGTGTAAGTATGCAATAATCATTATTCTTTATGGGTACATGTTTATTGCTTGAGTATACTGTTGTTTGAAATGTTGAATGATTACAGGGTTAAGGTACATCTAATGTCTCAAAATATTTTTTTAAGTGCATCAAACATCTTAAAGTATTTTGCAGTGCATTCAGCACTTTAAAATATCTTTTTGAGGTGCGTCCAGCACCGTGAAAAATTTTTGGTACATCCAACACCTCAAAGTATTTTTTTTAGATCTGTTCAACACCCAAAAATATTTTCTAGTGCTGGAAGCACTAAGGCAAAAAAAATATTTCAAAGTATTAGATGCACCTAAAAAATATTTTGAAATACTGGATATATTATAAAATACTTTGAAGTACTGGATGCACGTGAAAAAATACTTCAAAGTACTGTACGCACTTAAAAAATATTTCTAGATGCTGAATGTATCACAAAATATTTTGGAGTGTTGGATGTAGATAAAAAAATATTTTAAGGCGCTATACGCATCTGAAAAATATTTCAGGGTGTTGGATGTACCATAAAATATTTTAGAGTGTTGGATGCACCTGAACGTAGCATAACCCATTATTATATTTGTGTTTGATTTGGATGTAAAGGATTATTCCTTGGCGTAATAAAAAGGGGTAGAGCATGGCGTTCCTTGCCTAACAAAGGGTTTACTAATGAGATTACGAAATCTTGCGCATCATATTCAAGCATATACAAGACATTACATATTGTAACTGAAGTTCATCTCATACATATCAAATAACTATATTACACTCTTAATTACTAACTTCTTTATCCTTGCTTCTGCTTTGAACTAGCACTTGTGGATTTAGATGATGGAAGGGATTAGATTCTGGGAGAAGAAATCCCAGTAGTAATAGAAAAAACCTTCTTCAAACATGAATTGCTCCAATAAAATCACAGGCAAAAGCAAACACATCTCATATACCGTATCAAGATAAACCCGGGAAAAAAAAAGAAGAAGAAGAAAGGCACGGCCTTCTTTTATCTCAGAATAATGAAAGAAATGAAACATGTTTTATGTAAATTGAGATAAAATTCCTTTCACATATTTATCTCGTATTCCGTAATTATGATTAAAAAACTACTTATAAGATATTCCAAACAGGCCCTAAATCTAAGCCTTCTAATTGCCTTCATTTTTCTACATATTCTCTTCCGTACCTCAGTTTTGATTTTGCCTTATGTTTTAGTGTGGTCTCATTATGAATTCGTGGGGATTAAACCCATTAGTTGATATGGCTGGGTTGATTCACCTCTGGCCTTTGTTGTTTGACTTTGCCTTATATTCCGTTTCTATTAGAGACCAGTTCGATCTCTTGCCCCCTTGGTTCCTCACTTAGACTCCAGTTCCTCATGACCAATTCAATAATCTTCCCTTTGTGCTTCTTTTGTCTTGATTAGATCGTATTTTTCTCTGCCAGTCCCCTTCGCACCAAAATCCCAGCACAGAAGTAGAGATCAACTTTAGGGTTAGATTCAGAGCAATGATTAATGGGCTCTGTCACCAATTTTGGCTGTGGATTTTCCAAAGCCGCAAAACTTGCATCCTGGAAACAAATTGATACTATCTCCAATCTTAGCATAAAAACTACTCCCCTAGTTCCTAATATAAAAGTTTTTTTGTAGTGTAAATTATACTATAAAAGAGGTCTTATATTTAGAACAGAAAGAATAGTTAATTGATTTGAATAGATTAATTGAATTAGTTAAGTTAGTTATTTGTAATAAATAAGTGTTATCTTTTCTAAAATATCTTTACTAATCATGTGTATTAATTAGAATTACTATTTAATAAAACGTTTAATATGTGCAACTACTACAGGAACTATTTTAGAAAAATAGATAAATATATATGAAAAACAAAATAATTTAGATCTTATATTTAAAATTAAATTATATATTAAACTAGTTTTTATATTAAATATCATAGGTATAGTGCTAACTCTTTGGTGTGTTTCGTCTGCACTCATTCTTTTTTCTGGAAAAGTCCGGCTCTTAGTGGTGTAAGTATGCAATAATCATTATTCTTTATGGGTACATGTTTATTGCTTCAGTATACTGTTGTTTGAAATGTTGAATGATTACAGGGTTAAGGTACATCCAATGTCTCAAAATATTTTTTTAAGTGCATCAAACATCTTAAAGTATTTTGCAGTGCATTCAGCACTTTGAAATATCTTTTTGAGGTGCGTCCAGCACCGTGAAAAATTTTTGGTACATTCAACACCTCAAAGTATTTTTTTTAGATCTGTTCAACACCCAAAAATATTTTCTAGTGCTGGAAGCACTAAGGCAAAAAAAATATTTCAAAGTATTAGATGCACCTAAAAAATATTTTGGAATACTATATATTATAAAAAATACTTTGAAGTACTGGATGCACGTGAAAAAAACTTCAAAGTACTGTACGCACTTAAAAAATATTTCTAG